TTTATGACTCCAATAAAAGTTGCTTTCTATAAACAAATAGCAATTGTAAGATTTTTATAAAACATTTAATAGGCCCAAAGATATTCTTTTAATGGACTGCAAGAAATAAAGTGAATGCCTTACTTTGTAAGTATATGCTTTTATGGCCTTTTAATGCATCCCCAAATAGTCACATTTACACATACTTTTAAGGTAGGTATGGCATCTCTGAGAGTTGGAAGCCAGCCTGGTCTACACAATGAGTTCCAGGACAACCAGGGAGAGAGACCCTGTCTCAAAAAAAAAAAATTAGTCCTGTTGTCCCAACATAGGAGGATGTGCAAATAATTATGTGGAAACACATATGAACACACATGACATAATTATTTAACAAGGCAAGAAATTCCCATCTCTGTCTTTGGAAAGTGGTCTGTCAGTCTGTCTGCCTTTTGGCCGTCTGTCAGTCTGCCTTAAGTACCTCTAGTCCTGTAAGGTGGTTGTGTCTGGGGTGGGTCCTTCAGGTTTCTCTGAGCCTGTGGAACCTGAGGTTCCTGTACAGTTGGAAGTTCTTAGGCTGGCAACTCTTTGTGTTAGGGAGTTTTAGAAATAATTTTTTAAAGGAAAAATAGAGCAATAGGACGGTATAAGGGAAAACGTTGTGTTCATTCAGAAAGGCTGCAGGAAGGCGAAAGCTGCTGTAACAAGGACAGAACCAGGTCTGGAAGACCCCATAAGACAAGATAGAATCAATAGAGGAGACAGATAGACATGCCCAGTGCGTACTGGATTCCTAGTGCTCTTTCAGGGCCCCCCAGAGAAGGATCATCTTGGTTTTGGTTTTGGTTTTTTTCTGCTCAGTCTGTGGTTGAACATGGACTCTAGTTATTCCTGAGTGTCCAAGCATCCTCCTTAGAGGCATGCTGTAAACATAAGAGTGGACAGGTGACAAGAAGCATTACTCCTATGTGCCCTGTGAGGCTTGGTTCTCTCCTTTTGTTACTTTCTTTGGTGATCCTGGTAGAGGGTCCCTGTTGTACAGAGCTATCCTCTAAGCCAAACTGCCACCACCTCCATGAGTTCAGCTGTGCTTGCTTGCAGAGGATCCTTCCAGCTGGGCTAGTTGACTGCTGACTCTCCCTTATAGAAGGAGGGACGGGGAGGGCTAAGTGACCCTCATTGAAGTCGCTAGCCACTCCTCCTGACCAGGTGTATGCAGTTCTGCCTTAACTGCTTGTGGCATCAGGGAGGGACAAGAAGTAATAGGACTGGGAAGGACTTAAGGAGGTGGGCTCCATCTAGGTGGCCATAGAAGAGTTGTCATCCCCACTGGGTGCGGACCTCCCAGTGTGGCTGCTTCAAGGCCAGCCATGCTCCTGCCCACAACCCCTACACAGTGCTCTGTAAGTATGCCTAGTTAGCTCATTAGTTCCTCATAATAAACGTTGGTGGAATTGCACCTCATTAGTTTGTCATTGGGATCTTTGGAGGAGGGGTGGACATTGTTTTATCATCTCCAGGGGAGGAATTCTACCAACAGCCGTATTGACTCTTATATAAGGCACTTTAGATCACTTCCCTTGATTTTTACAAAGTAAGTCCAGCTGTAGGATGATATTAGAGCTTAAGATTTTATCTTTTGGCTAATTTCCACTTTCTCTGTGTTGATGCCAGACAGTATTACAGTAAATTATTAACCTCTGTTGTTGTTGGGGTTTTTTTTTTAGATCTTGAGGATCAGACTTACCCCAACTCTTGAGGCTATGTAGTAGCTTGTTGTCCAAGGAAATAGAAGGCAGATTTCCTGTAATGATATGAAGGCAGATTTCCGTAATGACATGAAGGCAGATTTCCGTAATGACATGAAGGCAGATTTCCGTAATGATCCCAAGGAGATAGAGATAAGTGCTAGAAGAGCATCTACAGTGGAGAGGAGTGAAGTGGAGTGGAGAGGAGTGGAGAGGAGTGGAGTGGAGAGGAGAGGAGTGGAGTGGAGAGGAGTGGAGTGGAGAGGAGAGGAGTGGAGTGGAGTGGAGAGGAGTGGAGAGGAGTGGAGAGGAGAGGAGAGGAGAGGAGAAGAGAGGAGAGGAGTGGAGTGGAGTGGAGAGGAGTGGAGAGGAGTGGAGTGGAGAGGAGAGGAGTGGAGTGGAGAGGAGAGGAGTGGAGTGGAGTGGAGAGGAGTGGAGTGGAGAGGAGTGGAGTGGAGTGGAGAGGAGTGAAGAGGAGTTGAGTGGAATGGAGTGGAGAGGAGTGGAGAGGAGAGGAGAGGAGTGGAATGGAGTGGAGAGGAGAGGAGAGGAGTGGAGTGGAGAGGAGTAGAGAGGAGAGGAGAGGAGTGGAGTGGAGCAGAGAGGAGTGGAGAGGAGAGGAGAGGAGTGGAGAGGAGAGGAGAGGAGTGGAGAGGAGTGGAGTGGAGAGGAGTGGAGAGGAGTGGAGAGGAGAGGAGTGGAGTGGAGAGGAGTGGAGAGGAGTGGAGTGGAGTGGAGTGGAGAGGAGTGGAGTGGAGTGGAGTGGAGAGGAGTGGAGAGGAGTGGAGAGGAGTGGAGTGGAGTGGAGTGGAGTGGAGTGGAGTGGAGCAGAGCATTCCCTCGGCTGACACCAGGCCCTTAGAGAGACCAGGCAGAGTGCCCTGCTTTCTGTCGTCACACTCTATACCCAAGTGTCTGTGGAGACACACATGAGTGTAGCCACAAAAGCATTAGAAACACTGATTTTGTGGACTGGAGAGATGGCTCAATAGTTTAGAGCACTTGTTGCTTCCAGAGGACCTGGGTTGGATTCCCATCACCCACATGGTCGCTCACAACCATCCATAACTCTGCTTCCAGGGGCCATGTGTTCTCTTCCTGCCTCCACAGGCACCCAGTGTGCACATGGTACACATATACACATGCAGGTGGGTGAGGTTTTCCTTTGAATCTGATGCTTGGGAGAAATGCCTTATTACATAGGAATCATTTCCATACCCATAGAGGCAAGTCTGTCCACAGTAAGTGAACAGCAAAGAATTGAGAGCAGTGAGGATATAATAGAGCAAAAGAGAAAGAATTTATCCAAGAGATTCTCCTTCAGGTAGAGAGTCAGAACACACTCAGCTTGGCTTTTATCATTTTAGATTGTGCTCCTGAGGTGGCTCACTCTTTAATCTGCGTGGCCATTTAAAATAAAAAGACCAGGGAGTGGAGATATGGCTCATTGGTTAAGCGCATTGACTGCTCTTCCAGAGGACCTGGGTTCAATTCCCAGCACCCAGACACAGCTAGCTGGGATCTGACACCTCCACACAGACAAACATGAAGGCAAAATACCAATGCACATAAAATAAAAAATAAAATAAAAAGGCCAAAGCCATTCATACACCAAGTCAGTGTGATCAAAATTGTAGTTTCCCAGTTCAGACATTGTCTTCTCTTATTGTTTTTTCATATTTATTTTTTAAAGAGCTTCTTAGGATAGAGATCTTATTCCACTGATGATTTATCCTCAGAGAGATAAAGAGGCAACTATGGCATTGTTTAAATCTTTTCCAGTAATGGGGTCACATAGACCCCAAAGCATACCTTATAGGCTTTGCCAATGACCCTGGTTACACTCTAGAACTAAACCAAGCTGGTACTCAGTTGGAAGGGCTAGGCATGCTTTCAAAGGAGAAAATGACTACCATTCTCATTCAGTTGTGAACCCCACAAGCTACAATGAGTGCTGGCCTGACATGATACACCTGCTGTTGCAATAGTGGCAGAGATGCTATGGGAGTGACCAACCACTTTCTGATTATCTCTGAAGCCCACACCATGAGATGGAAGCTATATCTAACACTGTTTAAAGGAGGGAGGGGGAGGGAAAGAGAGAAAGAGGGGAAAGACAGAGAGACAGAGAGGGAGGCAGAGGAGAGGCAGATACAGACAGGAGAGAGTGGGGAGATCTTTGCTGGTTGTTTCTTATCAACTTGACGCATACTAAGAGTTATCTGGAAGGAGGAAGCACAGTTGAGACAGTGCCTCCATCAGATAGCCTGTAAACAAGTCTGTGTGGCTTTTTTTTTTTTGATTAATCATTGATGTGGGAGGGCCCAGCTTACTGTGGGTGGTGCCGTCCCTGGGCAGATGGCTGGGTTATATAAGAAAGCAGGCTGAGCAGACCACAGGGAGCGAGCCAGTAAGCAGTGCTCCTCCGCTGTCTCCATTACTGTTGTGTTTAGGTGTATGCCACTATATGTGTGTGGAGGTCAGAGGACAACTCTCAGGAGTTGTTTCTCTCCTCCCAGTGTGTGGTTCCTGGGAATTGAACTCAGGTGGTCAGGTTTGACTGTAAATGCCCTTACCTACTGTATCAACTCCCCAGCCTGTGGTCATCTTTTAAATCTTTGGGAAGATGACCTTGCCTATCACTGTGTGCCAAGCAGCCACCCCCACTCACTACCTATCCAGGAGGAGCCTCATTCCCCACCTGATGAGTGATTCTTGCTTGTTCTCTGTGCTAGCAGGGAGACTGTTAGGAAGCTGCTGTAGTTAAGGAAGGGAATATAGAGCAGAAGCAATTGTAGCTTGAGCTCCATGCTCATGTTGTGGCTGGTCTTCTTGTTGTTGGGTTATATGAAGTTATGATGATGGTGATGGTTAGTAGTGGTGATGATAGTGGTAGTGACGATGGTGATGATGGTGGTGGCGGTGGTGATGGTTGTGATGATCACTCTCCCTTGGCCAATAAGCCTGAGAAATTACGGATATGCAAAGCTTATCTGGGGAGTAATTTGAAACAAGGTTTATATCATGATTTAGTTGCTCCCCCAGGGGCTAAGCAACAATTCCCAATGGTGTGATCTTCCCCTACACATATACCTGTGAATGCATGTAGACCACAACAGGCCATTCCTGCTACCAGAGTTAAACACACTCCCCCCAAAAATGCAGTTCATTATGTTGCCTTACCCAAACATAAAGATAGACACCTGTAGCGTGTTGGCTGGCTCATGTCCTTGACAGTACAGTGTGGGGTCAACACTAGCTTTTCTCTCTCCACAGAACATTGATATCACCAATTTCAGCAGCAGCTGGAGTGATGGGCTGGCCCTCTGTGCTCTGCTGCACACCTACCTGCCTGCCCACATCCCATACCAGGAGCTGAACAGTCAGGAGAAGGTAAGTCACTGCCTGCACCGCCCCACTTCTCCTCCAGGGGAGCCAACAGAACTTCTGTGGCAATGCATTTGTGGGAGGGTGGGTGTGGTGGTTTGAAAGAAATTGGCCCCCAAACTATTAAATGAGGCTTTGAGTCAGGTGTGGGTGGCGCACGCCTTTAATCCCAGTACTCGGGAGGCAGAGGCAGGTGGATCTCTGTGAGTTTAAAGCCAGCCTGGTCTACAGAGTGAGTTCCAGGACAGCCTCCAAAGCTGCCCTGGCCAGCAGGGCACAACGAAGGTCGAGCCCACAGGAACCTGGAATGAAAAGGACAAGAGACACAAGGACAGACAGCAAGACAGGCTCTGATCAAGCTGCAATTTTCTATTTTCTCACAAGGATTCTTACAGTGGTTGAAGCAGGAAGCTTGGGGGTGGGGGTTAGGTGGGAGAGGTTGAAGCAGGGAGCTTGGTCTTGGAAGGATATGCTCCAAGGATACAAGTCTATGGTGGGGGGGGGTCTGGACTGCAGGCCAGGTGGCAGAAGGGTGGGAGAGCCTGGACTGCAGGCCTTGAAAATATGCTGTACAGGAATATAAGCAGACAGAGAGACATGGAAGCTTAACTGTGTTAGTCTCTAAGAATACAGTAGGAATAATGGCTTTTATTATGCTATCCTTATTTAGGACCTTCCACAGCTGGCAATATTTACAAGAGATCCTATATACCAATGATCGCTCCCAGCACAAAGCAATACAGAGAAACCCTGTCTCGAAAAACAAACAAAAATGTGGCTGTGTTGGAGTAGGTGTGGCCTGTTGAAAGAAATGTGTCACTGGGGGTTGGGCTTTGAGGTCTCCTATGTTTAAGCTTCACTCAGTGTAGTAGACAGTTTACTTCCTGTTGTCTGTGGATTAAGGTGTAGAACTCTCAGTTCCTTCTCCAGCACCATATCTGCCTGAGTACTGCCATACTGCCATGATGATAATGGACTAAACCTCTGAAACTGTAAGCCAGCTTCAGTTAAATGTTTTCCTTTAGCTGGGCATGGTAGCTCCCCGCAACCCTCCCCACCCTTGATCCCAGCACTCAGGAAGCAGTATCAGGTGAATCCCTGTGAGTTCAAGACCAGCCTGGTCAACAAAGAAAGTTCCAGGACAGCCAGAGCTACACAGGGAAACCTGTCTCAAAAATCAAAAAGAACAAAAGAGTTTTCCTTTATAAGAGTTGCCATGGTTATGGTGTCTTTTCACAGCAATAGAAACCCTAAGACAGTGTGGGAGGCTTAATAGAGCTAGAGTGAACATCAGGAAGGGCACAGGGGACAGAATGTGACTGTACTGTGGGGTCCTGTCCTCAGTTGCCCTTCTCAGTGCATGTCGTTTGTTACCAAGAAGAACAGTGAATCCCACCTTTGCCGTGTGGTCACTGATAGGATCCTGTCACCTGCTTTCTACAGAAAACCCTGGTTTAGCCATGGCCTTTCTTTTTCAAAGTCTCTTCCAGTGCTGAAAGTAGAGCCAGGAGGGGTAGCTCAATTCCCTTCGCTTAAAGGAGGTCCATCTTTTTTCGATTAAACTAACCAGATTAGACTCATCCATGTTCCAGAGAACCATCTGCTTATGAAAAGTCCACCGGTATAAATGTTAATCCCACCTAACTATACAGACCAGGCTGGCCTCGAACTCCCAGAGATCTGCCTGCCTCTGCCTCCTGAGTCCTGGGTCAAATGTATGCACCACCATGTCTTGGCTAATCTCATCTTTTAAATACCTGCCTAGAGGGCTGGCAAGATGGTTCAGCAGGTGAAGACTCTTGCTCCCAAGCTTGGCAACCTGAATTTAATAGCTGGGACCCACATAATAGAAGGAGAAAAGCAACTCCCACAAATGTCTCCTAATGAGCACTTGCACATACACACACTCTCTAATTAAATAAATAGATAGATAGATAGATGTAATAAAAAGTCTAAATAAATAATGTTTAGCTAAATATTTGGATACCAGACATAGCCAAGTTAGCACACAAAAAATTAACCATTACAGAGTATCTTACAGGACGGGCAGTGTGGCTAATGGCAGAGCACTAATCCAGCATGCACCAGACCCTGGTTTAATTTCTAGTGTTGAAAAGGTAATTTTTTTCCAAAACATTTCCATGTGAGGTGCTTTATAAATTTTGAAATAGCTTGAGTAAGATCATGTCATGTTTAAGAGGAAAAAATAAGCAATGTATCATGTTAAGTCTGAGTTGTCTAAAGTATCCAAATGTTACATTAGGTAGGCAAACATCCAATCTGGAGTTCCGATGGGAAATCAGAGCTAGAGGGATGGATGTGGGAGGAGTCCTTGGAGATTTGGTTATATGGCAGGGCTTTCTGCGATGGAGCAGTGTTCTGAATTTGCACTGCCCAATAATGTTGGAAGAATAGATACAGATGGCATGTGAAGCTGTGAAATTGATGATTAGCCAGTCCCCCTATCTTAAGGGAACCGTCTTAAGCAGCTTTCATAGCTATAGCAAAATTCCTGAGACTGTGTATGTTGTCAAGAAAGGAGGTTTATTTAGAGCTCTGAAAGCTGAAATTCCAAAACTGAGGCTGTCATATCTGATTGGCCTCTCATGAAGAGCTCATAGTGGGTAGCATTACAGCAGTGAGTCCATGTTTGGGAGAGGGATGCAGGGTGAGACAGGAAGCCAAAGAGATTCAGAGACCAACTTTGCTCTTTTCGTAATAATTTGCTCTCATGGAAAGTGATCAGCGTCCCATGAGAACTGCATTGATCTCTTTAGAGAATGCGATTCCCAATCACCTGCTTGACCTCCACATCCTAAAGGTCCCATTACTTAGCACATACGCTGCTGGCCAAGCTCTCAGCACGTGGACTTTCTGGGCCACACTCAAGCCCTGTCCACAGCACATAGAAGCACAGGAAGGACCCACCACAGGGAACTAGAGAGGAGTGGAGTGGGGACCACCAGGCCATCACAGAGGCCAAGGGCACAGCAGGGCATCTGATTGTGACTTAGGAGTCATTCCCTCCCCACCATCTTGTTTTCCCACTCCCTCCCTTCCTGGTGTGATGTTAGAAAATAATTATGTAAATAGTGAGCGTAACAAATTTCAAAATAGTCAGCAGGCCTTCCTAACATGGCCACACACACTCTAAAACCTGAGTCTTCCTGAAAGCAGCATGTTTCTCTGCAGTCAACAGGCCTGGCTTCTTTGTCCTGCAATCAGTTCAGATCTGTTGGAAAATAATGGGCCTGTGAGTGTTTGCTCTCACACTTTGGGTCATGAGCATTGCTTCCTGGTGACCAAAACCCCTTGTCTCACTCTGGATCCCTGACACTCCTGCACCAGGCACCCTGCCAGCTGCCCAGTGGCCTCCTGCAGATGTGGAAATGGGCATCAGGGCAGACTGGCAGCAGTATTCTTGTTTCTGTTACCCTTCCAGGGCAGGGGCCCCTGTTTCCACACATCTGGTTGAGTTTCTTTTTCTGGGTCTTTGCTAATGTCATCAAGGAGTGCCAGTGGTGAGGGACAACTATAAGGCAATGAAGGAGTCAATATCATGTACCAGGAGTTAACCGCTGTCAACTCCAGTTGAGTTTGAGTTCCAGCACCTAGGACTTGGAGTTACCACTGGCCCACTACTCCCTGAAGGAATATCTGGCCCCACCTGGCTGCACCCTAAATGGAGAAGCAATGGCTCAGGATGTCATGAGTACAGGTGGGGGTGCAGTGAGAGAGGCCAAACCCATTCATTACAGGGGAGGATTGTCAAAATGCCCTGTCAGCAGACACCCATCAACACAGCATCAATGGAGCATGCATGGAGCTTTTAATGAGGGTAATTTCCCTGAGGTGACAGTACTACTGGGTAGGTTCTCCCAGAAGGGACATGTTTTAGGTTGGGCTTCAAAGGGAACATAACTACTCCAGACCCTTTTGGGTGAGTGAACATGGTTCAGACTCTGCCCTGTGGTCTTGTGTACTCAGTATGAGGGATTGTTGATTGATTGGTTGTACTGTGTGGAATACACAATGATCAAAAAGGGCACTAAGGGAAATAATGTCACTAAAATCTATTAAAGTTGAAATATAAAAGTAATATGATAAAGAATCAGGGCTCAGAGGTAGAGCCTGTGCTTAGGATAGATGAGGGCCTGACTTTATCCCCAGTACCAAAGAAAATTGATTAGTTCAAAATTAAAAATAAGAACTGAGCACAGTGGTGCATGCCTATAGACTAAGCACTTTGGAGGTAGGGACAGATGATCAGAAATTCAGTGCCGTCCTTAGCTACACAGTAAGGTCAAGGCCAACCTGGGCTTCATGAGACTGTCTCAAACAAACAAGGATATCTTGTATGGTATTAAAGGAATATGCAATCACAGTGTACATTACAGTTGCTGGAAGGTTTGGGTGAGGTATTTGTTTTCATTAGAAATACAGTCTTCAGATACCAGCCTATGGGGCTCTTCTACACAGCCCAGAGTCGGCTTATAGAGTGATTGTGTTGATATCTGAACTTGAATATGAGCGTGAGTCAAATCCTTTTTCCCACTTCTTTGCAGAAAGATACTGTACCAGTATAGTCTTACCAGCCAAGCTGGGACCAAGTTCTACATCAGATAGGAACAGATTTTCCTGAACTAGAAGATCCAAGCTCACACAGGGCAGACACTGAAGAATGGCATCTCAGTCTGTCCCCACCTGTATGGCAGAGCTTCCACTGAGACAGAGCTCACGGCCTGAGGACATTGGCTCTTCTACCCAGACTTTTCACTAGGCATCCCCTCTTCTGCTCTCTGGCCTCAGCATGGAAGGGCATTGTGGAAGGGCATTGAGAGGGTGACCCCTGATCACTGGTGTCCCACCTACATCAAAATGAGCAAAAGTCATTTTAACGAACAAAAACTCACCCCTATCATGTTCCATGTTATGCTATGTCAGTGCTTTTCGAGGAAGTTCTCCAATATAGACTGTTTATTCTGTATGCAATTTCTTAGAAAACATACTTTCGTTTGAATCCTTCTAGAGGGTCTTAGCAGAATTCTAATTAAAATATTTGTTTTAGAAATGCCTTCTCTTTAGACCTTATTAGTAACCCAATAACACAAATTAAGACAACAAAATACAGTGTTTAGCTTGGGCAGGCAAGAATGGGGGAGAACACGATTATTGGAGCTAAAAATGGTGTGCGTTTTTAGGAACCAGTTTGGCATTGCACTGTTTGTATCTCAGCTTCCTGTGCAATGTAACCTAAAAGCTGGCCTAACCAAAGGGGCTTTAAAATAAGAACAAAGCTTCCACTAGCACCAAAATAGGAATCACTCCCTAGCGTGGGCTGGAAGGACCCATTTCCCCACTTCTGCTCAGCAGAGCAGAGAAGCGTGACAGAAACAAGGGTGAGGTTTCCAGTTCCTGTCCTTCAGTCTCCCTGAGTGGCAAGGAAGAGGCTGGTGGACTGGGCAGTATTACCATGGCTCAGCCACTTCCCAAGGTTACACCACAGGCTGGAAGAAAGCGTGCACGTCTGCATTTCCTCTGACAGCATTCATATATCAGCAAGTTGACTTCAGTGTCAAGCTGCACCATTTGGTCCAGGGCCAGATGTTTAGATGGGGCAGAGTAAAGACCGTGGGAAAATGGGAAAATAGAAAATTATATATATAAAAGGACTTGAACTCCTAGATTCTAGTGATCCTCTTCTCTTAACCTCTTACATAGCTGGGGCCACAAATGCATCCCAACTTATGTATAAAATTTAAATATGACTGTGGTAAAGTGCTTGCCTAGCATACATAAGGCCCGGGTTCAACCCCTGTTCTGGGGAAGGAAAAAAAACCCTAAATGTATCGGATTGCGAAATTATACATAGGACATAAAGTGAGAACATGCTTCTCACTGGTACTCAAAGCATCTAGTTAAATTTCTAAAACTTAATGGTGTTCATATGAGTTTTTGAGGTGGGATGGCATGACAAGTAATTTAGATTATCTGTACAAAGAGATGCCAGAGAATAGCCAAGGGGAATCTGGGAACAAAGCCCAAACTAGGGCTCAGTGACTCCAGTGAACAATGCTGTTCAAGTTCTAAGGGGTAATTATTTTCAGCCTACAATTCCCAGTCCAAGAATTCTCATAACCAAGCATGATGGTAGGAAGAGGATCTTTCTGTGTGAATGCTTCTGGAAATGTTTCTCCACAATAGCCTTTCTCAATAATGTTCTCCAGGGAGATGGGCTATAATCCTACAGTTGATAAGTGGTCCTGGGGGGTTCTTGGGGTAGAAAGATTTCTGTGAATAATAGTAATGGCTAAGAGCTTCAGAGTTTGAAAAGGAGAGAGCAAGAAGGCATATAAGGACACCCTGTCCAAATGTGAGGCAGACCCTCCATGTGAGGACAGAAAAGCAGCAGGCTGCCTGGAGTTAGGAATTTCACACAAACACCAGAGTGAATAAAACAAAAACAAAAGCCAGATGATGAGGGACAGTTTTCTCAGTAAGAGACGCCAGCACAAACTATAGGGAAGAAAACAAATGTGGTGATATCTTGCTTGTAAAATAAAGCTTGTCTGAAGATCAGAGGATGGAGCTTGCCCCTAGCTAACCATAGAGGTCTGGAGGTCTGCACAGACAGACAGGAAGTGAGATGGCTGGGCAGAGACAGAAAGATGGCTAGGCATAGAGAGGATATAAGTGGGAAGAAACAGGAACTTGCTCTCTTTTCTGCTGGGAAGCCAATGGGGTAAAGGTGGCTTTGGCTTGCTCTTTCTTCTCTCTGGTCTCTCATCATTTCCCTCTATATCTGACTCTGAGTTTTTATTATTTAGACCAGTTAAGAACTCCTTTTACAAATAAACCTTAGAAGAAAGGTTAGGACTAAATCTCAACAAGTTGTCCTCTGACCTCATAGGCTCACTATGGTGTGAGTGCACTCACACAGAAGTCAATTCTAAAAAGAAATAGTGGTGTAAGAAGATTGCAGTCACAAAGAAATCACTAGAGGAAATAGAGACAAGCCAGAAAACAGTTCTCTTGGGAACTAGGAATGGGGGGAGGAAACATGTTTTCATTTGGTTATATGTAACTACTTCATGCGTGATTTTGATAGTTATTTTAAGACCAGGTCTCACTAGGTAGCCCTGACTGGCCTCAATCTCAATCCTCCTGCCTCAGTCAGAAGTACATCAATGCCACACCCAGTTTGATTATCATTTGTGACATAGTCCTGCGGAAAAAGCAATACAGCAGAATGTGGTGAATGTTGCAAATCTTGAAAAAGCCACTAATGACCTAAGCAACAAAACTTTGTCTTTAGCCAGGTGTCAGTCACTGTCACTTTCCCCTGTGGCAACCATAACCTTGTAGCCTTTCCTTCCTGAGACAGAGCTGGTCTGCACGGTTGACGTGGTATTACTTACTTTGTCATAGTGAGCAGTCTGTAGGCGCCAGTGCTGTCCCTTCTCTCATACGTCTTTTTTGTCTCTGCAATACAGAAAAGGAACCTCTTGTTGGCATTTGAAGCAGCTGAAAGTGTAGGCATCAAACCCAGCCTGGTAAGTATCCTATTTTGTATCTTTTTGATATTTTTTTCTACTTCATGAGAAATAACTTGCTACAACCCACTAAACCGGTAAATGACACTCTAATCCATTCTCAGGATTCCTTATGAAAAGGATGTAGACTCGTGGATTTTTGTCTGTTTCTTTTTTTCATTATTAGTATTTTATGTTTGTGGGTGTCTGTGTACCCCATGTGTGCCTGATGCCAAATACCCTGAAATGAGAGTGACTGTGATGCTGCTATGTGGGCACTGGGAATCAAACCCAGATCCTGTGGAAGAGCAGCCAGTTCTCTTCCAGCTAAGCCATCTCTCTAACTCCAGACTCAAAGTTTCTAAAATGAAGATTTCATTATGAATAAATTTCCATTCAAATCACCAAGAAATCTCAGGGAAATGTCATTTTTTTAAAAATGTCACCAGGGTGTTGCGGCACACACCTTTAGTCCCAGCACTTGAGGGGCAGAAGCAGACAGATCTCTGAGTTCAAGACCATCCTGTTCTGCAGAGTTCCAGGATAGCTAAGACTGTGTAGTGAGAATCTGTCTCAAAAGCAATAAAATAAAAATTTTAAAGTATCAAATTTTGGGCTAGTGGAATGGCTGGCAGGGAACAGCATTTAACCTCCAAGCCTAATGACTTGAATTCAATCTCTGGGACTCACATGGTGGAAGGAGAGAACCAAGTCCCCAAAGTTGTCTTCTGACCTCTCCTTACATGCTTTGGCTGTACGTACACATACATACCAAATAAAAGTAAAATGTAGTAATTTTTTCAAAAACAAAAAGAAAATGTCAAGTATAGCTGAGTTATCAAGAAAGTATAAAAAAGAGCTGAATGGTGGTGGCACACACCTTTAATCTCAACATTCAGGAGGCAGAGGCAGAGGCAGGTGGACCCCTGAGTTTGAGGCCAGCCTGGTCTACAGATTGAGTTCTAGGACAGCTAGGTCTACACAAAGAAGCCCTATCCTCACCCCCCCCCAAAAAACAAAAACAAAAAGGCAAGATAAACAACAACAACAAAAAACTACATATAAGAAATTTAAAACAGTGAAAACTGATATTGTGAGGTTTGAGTCAAACAGTGTGAGAACTATACCTGCTCCTGGAGAGATGGTGAGGTTTGCCTCTGCCTTGGGGTGGGTGGGGTAAAAAGGCCCATGAGGTTTGGAATCTAGATTTCCATCTGGAGCACCCAGCTAAGGCTCTGCAATGCAGTGAGCTCCTGTCATTTAATGGCCACTGAAGTATTCACAAGCCAAAATTACAAAGCAGATCAGAAAAGGGTTGACTTGCACTAGCCAACAGGTACCAAATGAGAGAGGGGATTGTCTGCCAGAACTGGGTGTAGCAAATATTAACTGTTTAAACCTATCAGGCAGGGAAGAGGCGCAGGGAAGATGACTTAGTGAGTGAAATGCCTTCTAGGAAAGCATAATGACATGAATTGAGATCTACAGTATATATTTAAAAATCCAGGCATGTAATCCCAGCACCAGGGAGGTTCTTACTGGCCTGTGAGCTCCTGTCAGCCTGAGGGCACCTGTTGCAAAAAGTGGGGAGGGGACTAAGGAAGACACTGGATGTCGACTTTTGACATCAGCACACCTGGGCACCCACACGCAACACATGCACACATACTAAAATGTTTAAGAGAACATATGTGATAGCACATACCCAGTCCGAGCTGAGGCTTACTCCCTCCAACTCCAAAATTGAGAGAGAGAGAGAACAAAAAAGACAAAAAGAGTAACAGAAACCAGGGAGGAACATAGTGCTAAGTACAAATAAATATAAAGGGAAGGAGATTTATAAAATACTGGAGCCTATTACTGGAGTTGTTAGAGTCAGAACCTCCTCCTAGATCTAAAAAGCTAAGCTTGACCATCCTTTGGGAAGCAATTAAACAGACAAATAATCATGAAAACAGGGAGGGGGGACTTATACAATGTGGCCATACTAGGAAATAGAGGCCCAGAGATCCCTACACAAACACTCCTAGTCCATCTTCAGGACCCTGACAAGAGGCTTAGTCTTAGACAGAGGGCAAGAGATAACTAATTAAGCAGTCCTGGAGTATCCTTCTGCCAATCAGTACCCATCATTGTCTAGTCTCGGGGGTCTCTGCCAGGTGGTCTCACAAAGTGACAGACTGTATAAATAGTTCACTGAGACAAGCTCCTCCTCCTTCTGGTGCCAGACGTCATCCTTCCCTTGTCCCAGCAAGAGATTCCTGGAGAAATTACAATCCCTTGGGGACCAATGTTTAAATAGGCCAATATCCAAAGAGACCAGCACAAGTATCTTTTTAGAATATTTTTGTTGCCACCAGGAAGGTTGCAGAGCGACTGGAAATGAAAATTTGGAACAAAAAACAAAATGAATGGGTTGCCAAACTGGTTAGATACATCAAGAGAGAAAGGTGGTGGATGGAAAGTGAATACAAGGAAACTATCCCACAGACTAAATAGACAATAAAAGGTGAAAAAACAGTGATAACTTTCATCGGTTACAAACACAGTAAGTTGGAGGACATTGTAGGCCACATGAAACCTTGTCTCAAAAATAAAATAAAGATAAATAAATAAATATAATTGAGTGGACAAAAGAGACAATACTGAGTGCTAACCAATCTGGAATCAACTTTTGGGCTTCTTATTTACAGCAACAACAAAAATCTGATTTAAACAACTATTAATTGACTTTCCCATTCTTGAAACTTCTTACATAATCTTTCAGTAGAACTTGGCCAAAGGTTATTAATTACTGTTGTTACTTCTGGTTGAATGTAGTTTAAAAATGCCAAGTGTAACTCAATATATTATATCTGTGGGGTGTGTGTGCGCGTGCCATGCGTGCGTGCGTGAGTGCGTGAGTGTGTGCTCGTGTAACCCAAGGCTGGTTTTGATATCACTATGTAATTGAGAATGATCTTGAGCACCTGGTTCTCCTGCCTCTGCCTCCCAAGTGCTGTGTTTAGAGGCATGCACCACCACTATGCTTGGCCAATGTTGTTTTTTGTTGTTTTAATCCACATACAACCAGGGAGAAAAAGAACAATTGGGAAATTCAAGCTGAAATAACAGTGAGATGTATGTCCGTAGCCTTCCGAGGATGGAGGGGCTGGAGAAATGAAAAGTGAAAGAACTACAGAGAAAGCAGTGCTATGAATAATATCATGCTGATATAAATTTGAAACAGAATGAACAGTTTTATAAAAATACCAGTGTCCTTCAAATATAAGTATTTCCTCTAAACCTTACTCAAAAATAGAACACTATACACATTTAAGAAGTGAAATCCAGCTGGGAGGGAGGGCTCAGCAGTGAAGAGTGTGCTACTCCTATAGGGGACCCAAGTTTGGTTCCCAGCACCCATATTGGGCAGCTCACAACTTTCTGTGACTTCAGTTCACCTTTTTTGGCCTCTACAGTCTCTGCACTCTTTTACAGAAGCCCACATTCAAGCACACATATGTACACATAGTTAAAAATAATAAAAAGAATCTTAAAAAGTAAGTTTTGTGTATCCATATCTATGTAAGCACATACAGGTTATGGGGGGTAAACAGATAAGCAAGGGAGATTCCTTCAAAGTAAAACTCTGCGGTGTACCCCAAGCTTTAGAACACATTCCCGCTCAGTCACCATGAAATATGTGTTTTAAGCCCACATCACAATCTATACAGAAAGAGTTGGGTAAACATTCATGGCATCGTTGTTATGCTCCAGAGCTGCTGCGGTGGTTCTTCAGGACTAACTGTGGCTGAGTGAGGGTTTACTATGGCCTTAGTCATTCTGTCCAGGACATGCTTGCTTACTCAGGGCATGTACAAGACAGTCACTGCACAACTCTGAACGCCCAAAAGCAAGAACTCCAAAGCCGTGCCCACTGTCTTTCTAAACATTTGAGTGTCCGGTAAGTGAGGTCAGTTACTTTTTATAGTTTTACCGTCTTAATCATTTTAAGTGGTGTGAAGTACCTTCACATAGTGGTGCAATCATGACCACCCTCCCCATGAAGAATCCTTATCTTGCAAAATCGAAACTCTGACTCTGTTAAACATTAACTCCCCACCTCCACCCTCAGTCTGGCAGCCACTGTTTTGTTCTCAGACTCTGGGAGCTTACCTATTTCCGACACCCATGTTAGTGTACTTGTCCACCATATATGTATCCTGTTTGGCTTGTGTACATAGTATAAGGCCCTCAAAGTTCATCTGTTAGAATTTCCTTCCTTTTTAAGGCGAATGATATGGTTTTACCACATTCTGCTTATCTTTTCATCCATTAGTGAACACTAGGGTACCACCATAGTTTCTCTCTTCTCAGCAAATGCTGCTGTCAACCTAGATACACAGGTGCCTTCTCTTTTTATTACTAAAGGCCCTTAGAACAGTACCAGGTCATAGACTGTTAATAGCAAATATGTAGTAAGAAATGAAGAAAATAAGAAACCACAGTACATTTCTAGTTTTTTGGTTTGTTTGCTTTTATATTCATTTATTTGTTTTATGAGTATGGGATTTTGGCCTGTGGGCTTGCATGTGTGTGCATGCATGCATGCATGCGTGTGTGCCTGGTGCCCAGAAGATGGCATCAGATACCCTGGTGTTATAGGTAATTGTAAGCTGCCATGTGGTGGGGCTGGGAACATAACCCAGGACTGCAGGAAGACTGGCCAGTGCTCTTGACTGCTGAGCCATCTCTCCAGCACCTGTGGTGCATTTCTAATGTTCTCTGTAAGTCCATCAGCACCAAGGTACTAAAGAAATTCTTATCCAGTATTTTCAAAGTCAAATTCATTTTCATTCTGGCTAGGGAATTTTTGTGCTCCATTTTATTTGTTCTGTCTGCTCCATCCCATTCATTAGGTGCTTAACTCATAATAATCCATCCCTAGGTTAGTTGCACCAAACCACGTGGGAGAAGCATCTCTTTGCTTCCAAGCTGACAACCAATTGCAAAGGGTTCTTACCCTCTGCATCTACAGCTGTCCAGGAATGTCACTGTATTCCCCTCTTCTCTGAGTGACTAGGATTAACCGGTGCTTTTAGCCAAAAGCCCCCCCCCCCCAAGAAAGGCCTGCCTTAGCATTGAGTAGGGGTAGAAGGAATCTTCTAGATTTAGTGCTACCTGAAGCTCCTTTTTATCTCCAGTTTAAAAAAAAAAAAAGAAAATACCTCCATTCATACACCTGGTGGACAGGCATAAATGCAGGCAGAACACCCATAAAATAATATTTAAAAGAAAAACAAACAAACAAAAAACAAAATACCTCTAGTATCCTCTTGTCAGGAATTGCCCTGTGGGCCAGCAAAATGACTCAGTGGGTAAGGGTTCTTGCCACCAAGCCTGATGACCTGAGTTCAATCACTGGGGTCCACATGATGGAGGGGAAGGACTGACTCCCGCAAGTAGCTCTCTGACTTCCACAGGTGTGCCATGACATGCACATGTCACACACACACACACACACACACACACACACACACACTGGGTGAATAAATATCTGCTGGTAGAATCACAGAAATTATCCATAAATGGTATGATCATTTTATTACAGTGCTTTTAAGGTAAGAATGTTTTGTCACTTGTCTGTGGTGATATCATCATTGCTTAGGTTTCGCTGTTCTTGTATTGCCTGTCTCCTTGTTTTGTTTTGTTTTGATTAATTTTGTTATGGGAGTGAGTCTTTGAGACACAGTTTCAATTCATCCTCAGGACTTGATCTCCTGAAGCTCCTGCCTAACTCTCTGGAGGGCTGAGATCAGAGTATATGGCCACATCCCTCTCTGTTGTTTTAATTTGAGTTTCTCTGCTAGAAAACTATGCTCTGATTTGCTCACAGTTCTTTGCTGGCCACTTGTCTTTCTTGGCGTGGTCTCTTGGCCCCTTTCTAAATCAAATTGTCCCAGTCTGAGAGTTACCTTTTCATTCTCTTGACAGTATCTGTCTCAGCAAAGTTTTTAATTTTGGCCCAATTTGTAGTTAATTTTCTTTCAAGGTTATGCTTTGATGTAGTTAAAAGCTCGTCACTCAACCCAAGGTTACAAACTCAAATTTGCTCTTGTATCTTTTCTAGAGCTTTCAAAAGTTTCCATTGTGGTCTCCGATCTGTTTTTGTGTGAGCTGCGAAGTATACATTAGTTGTCATTTGCATGTTTGTTTTGTGTATGGCCATCCTGTGCAGTAGCAGGTATCACGAGAACATCCTTACCTCTCCCTTCCCAGGGCTGAAATCTTGCCCCTTGGCTGTTCTTCTAGACTGTTTTGTTATTTTTTGCATTCACAAATTTTAAAATCATTTATCAACATCTACAAAAATTAAGATTTGTTAGAATTGCTGGACAGTAGTGGTGCATGTCTTTAATCCCAGCACTCAGGAGACAGAGGCAGGCCAATCTCTATGAATTTGAGCCCAGCCTGATCTATAGAGGAGTTCCAAGACACCAAGGGCTATATAGAGAAACCCTGTCTCAAAAAAAAAAAACAAAAACAAAAAAGATTTGCTGAGATTTTGATTGGGATTATATTATATATATCAAACTAGAAATAATAATCTTAACAATGTTGTCTTAAACTCATAGAAATAATATATGTCCCTAATTTAGATATTTGCTTTCTGCCATGTTTTATCATTTTCTGCATATAGAATGTATACATATTATATAGTTTGGGGCATTAAAAGTAGGGGCATGGAAGGTGGAGAGAGAGTTCAGTGGTTAAGAGCACTGGCTACTGATGGGGGAAGTCCTTCTGTGTATATGTTGTCTTATTGGTTGATAAGTAAAGCTCTGTTGGCCAATAGAGAAGCAAGATAGGTGGGACTAAGAGTTGAGGAGGATTCTGGGAAATGTAGTCAAGAGTGGAGAGTCTCCATGTGATCCCGGGAGGAGAGGGCACAAGTCTTGCGTTCTCAGTAAGATAAGACCTTATAAAAATATATATTAGTAATTATGGGTTAATAATTAAGTCAGAGATAGCCATCAGGAAACCACAGCAAACAGCCAACAACTTTATAATTAATACAGTGTCCTGTGTGTTCATTTGGGACTGACGTGGCTCTGGGACCAGGCTGGCAGGAAAGAATGCACGTTACAGGCTGCTCTTCTAGAGGACATAGATTTTGTTCCCAGCACTCACAAGGCAGCTCACAATGGCCTGGAACTCCACTTCCAGGGGATCCGATGCCCCCATCTTGGGTACCATACATGTGATATATATACACATATATGCAGAGAAAACACATAAAATTAAAACCAAACTAGCTTGGGAGGGCTTATAGGTAACTTTTTTTCTGGTTAAAAATCCCTGGTTTCATTTCTGGCATACAGGAAAATGACATCTGTGGGACCGTGTTATGGAAACTTGCTAACCTTTGGGCAGACTTGGTTGTTGACCTCTATAACATCTGCAAAACCAGTTCTGTTGTTTTCTTTGTAATCTGTATGCCTTTTTATTCCCTTATTATACATTATTAGCTAAAATTTCAACTACTGTATTAAACAGAACAAGTAAGAATGTCCATCTTTATCTTAGTCTTGATTTGAGAGGGAAAGCATTATATTACACACTTAAGTATGATGTCAGCTATTGGGTTTGGGGGGTACATGCCCTGTAGTATGTAAAATAAGTTAACTTCTCTGGGGTTTTTTTTAGATTTTTTAAAAATCATGAATAGATTCTGAAGTTTGTCCATCACATTTTTCCTCAGTCTGTTTAATATATTAATATGGATTTAAAGGCATTGAGCCAGCTTCACATTCCTTGGATGAGCCTCATTTGATCAAGATACTTTATAGATTAATGAATTCAGTCTGCTAATATTTTTTTCAATATCCTAGTAGTTTTATGTCTTTATCTGAGAAATATTCAGTTTTCTTGCAGTGTCTTTGACTAGCTCTGGCTGTAGACTAATCTGGCGCCACAAGATGAGATGCAAAATGTTCCCTCATCTTCCATTTTTGGAGACTGAATAACTGGTATTAGCTCTTCTGTATGTGTCTGGGGAATCATGTGGCCTGGGTTTGAGCTGTTAACTATTAATTTAAGCAAATCTCACGCGTGGTAAAATTATCACTAAGACAACTCCCCTCCAGAACTGTGCAAAACATTTCTTCAAAGATTTTCAAATGCGATGTTAATAATGTAACAAAATATTTTTGATTCAGTAATTGCTAGTATGAGATGGTCTGATTTAAACTGTGACTAGTAACTGTACTTTCAAATCATCTGAAACTAAAGACCCCTTCCTCTACAGAAAGGAAAGTTAGTTGTCTGTCTTTCTTAAGTTTGTAAGCATGTCTTTGGGCTGCCCTTCCTTCTCAGAGCTCATCGGCCTCCAAATCAGCACTGTCCATCTCTTTTTTCCTCCTAATACAGGGTTCTCTGTGTAGCCCTGGCTGTCCTGGAATTCACTCTGTAGACCAGAGATCCACCTGCCTCTCCCTCTGCCTCTGCAGTGAGCTCAGTCATTCTTTATCATGTGCCCGTTTTGTTTTGTTTTCCTTTAAAAAAATTTCTGAAGCCGGGCTTTGGTGGTACACGCCTTTAATCCCAGCACTCGGGAGGCAGAGAGCAGTGGATCTCTGAGAGTTTGAGGCCAGCCTGGTCTACAAAGCTACACAGAGAAACCCTGCCTCGAAAAAAAAATTCTGGGCAGAGCTGTGTGGAAAGGTCCCTCTTGCTTCCTTTGTGCCCTTCCTGGTGGATTACGATATGCTGATCATTTTAGCGTGGCCAGGGAGCAGAGCGGGAGAGAAAGGTTCAGACGTTAATTCGGAGGCTAATTGGCAGCTACCCAGGAGCAGATGTGCTCTCTTCATACTCTTTTTCCTTTGCATCTCTGCTCCTGGCTTATGTTCTGTTACAACCACAAAAGACTTCCCATCCGATCCCAGCGTTAATAATTAAGCGTCATCTGAAGAGCTTGGTGGAGTATCCTGCCACTGTTTGGCCTTGCCCTTACACATGCCTGTTAAGCAGCTTACTTGCAAAATTAGCCCCCAAGCGTAGTAAATAAACATAATTAAATAAATAGCCAAAAACTTCACTCAACTAAAGGGGTGGGGGGAAAGTCCAGATACTAAGTAGTAATAACCCTAGAAAAGCACAAGGTTTAAATTGGCTCGAGGCATCTGTGGTAATCCCATGACAAGCTCTCCAGGAAATAATCTGACAGAAAGAGATAATACTACCCAGTGCAGAGTGCAATATAGTGGAAGCTAAGGGAAACTACAGATAGTGCACGCCCGCTGAAGAACAGTGGTGTGGGAAATCAGACCAAGATGTCCGTTGGAAAGACACAGGATGTGTGAAAACATGTTCACTGTGGTGGGAGCCTAGGAAACTAGACTTACATTCATATGCATGTTAGAAAACAAGAAACTCTTTTCTAGAGTAGAACTTCAGGTGACTGTAAAAAGCTGTAATGGGGTTTAAAGATGAGAGCAATAGGAGGTCGTGTCTCTGGTCTTTGAAAGGGACATACTTCCCAGGTAAAGCCACTGAAAAGCCTAACACAGCCTTTTAGCATGGTCTGTGTTTGCCTACATTTCGGTTCCTGTCAGTGGAAGGTTTCCAGTCAACACCAACCCTGAGCTGGAGTAGTCAGTTGATGAAAAGGGGTCTGAGATGTTCCTTTTGCACTGCTCCCTTCCCCTGCAGGAACTCAGTGAGATGCTGTACACGGACCGGCCTGACTGGCAGAGTGTGATGCAGTATGTAGCCCAGATCTACAAGTACTTTGAGACATAGACAGAAGACCCAGCGACAGCAGCTGCCACGTGGTCTGAAGTTAGTCCTGGAAGCACCTGCTCCTGTCCACCACACCTGCTGTGCCCACCACCTGGCCATCTGGATTTCCAAGGAAGGCTTAAGCCACGTGGACCAGCACTCCATGGAGAGGCAGAGCTGGCTCCACCATATGCCCATCTCAGATGCAAACGTGTCTGGAGCCCATGCTCAGGAATCCTTGTTCCCAATGGGAAGTTTCTAGAGAGGCAGGTCCTGCTTCTCACACACTGGGTCCCAAACCCAGGCCCTCTTCTGCGAGATCCCAGAGTGTTGCTAGTCCAATCCCATTTGCTGCCCCCACGTGGCCTCCACGCTGACAAACGGCACTTCAACCGCCATGTCTCCTCTTCTTCTCCCTCCTCCTTTACGAAACTGTTCTAGCTTTGCTTTATTCAAAACTTTGTCCTTACCAGCTGCCTACTCCTCCAATAAAACAACACCACAAAACAGAAAAACAAAAGCAGGTTTTGCTTCTTAGCAACCTGGAAACACACTGATGAGGGAAATAGTGTGCTCCGTTCTACATAACTGAGAGCTTAGTGACACTGCATAGATCTCACCGTCCCTATTTGACTCCTCATAAGTATAAAGAAACACTTAGGTACCTTGCTGAGGGTCCACTAGAGGCCAGCTGGCACGCTGATTAACCACACAGCCTGGGTGCAACACTGGTGTCCTGGCTGATGAGAACTGTGACCATTGTCCACAGCACCTTCTGCCCTGCTGTTGATAGTCCCATTCACACACATATCTGCCCAACACATAGAACTCAACACAAGTCTCTTCTGTGTGTGAAGCAGCCTGTGCTGGTGAGCTCCTTGCACACCTGCACAGTTCTGTAGACTGGGAGGTGCGTCCCTTGGAATTCTGGGTGGACAGAAATATAAACCATGCTTTGGCTGCAAACATACTTGGTCCTTGGTACTTGTTGGGCCTTTTACATTTGCCTAATGTTTTAGGAGTGGTGATGGTGGCTCTGTCCCCTGATACCTGCTGGTTCTCTGAGGCAGCATGGCCCCTCCCTGAGTGCTCTGGCTTGAGTGCTATAGACCAGCAGTTCCCAACTTTCCTAATGCTAGGAGTTCCTCATGCAGTGACCCCCAACCATAAAATAGTCTCATTGCTAGTTCATAACTGTAACTTTGCAACTGTTATGAATCATGATGTAAATATCTGATATGCAGGATATCTGCTATGCAACCCCCCCAAAAAAGGGTCCCCAAACCACAGGTTGAAACCACTGCTCTAGAAGCTTTTTTGCTGTTTTTCTTGAACAAACAAATGTGTACTTCTTAGCAAATGAGGGTGTCCCTCTCTCAGACAGTTGTGTGCGCACAAATACCCATTACTGTTCTAAGTGCCAAATAGCCGTGTGCTGGTCCTTTGACCAAGGACCATGCTCACAGCAACCCCTGAGAATGACCGCCATAGTTACAGTGAATCTCTGCCTGCTTGTCTGAGCCACTCTGCTGGCCCAGCCCCTACCCTTGGAGGACCTGAATTCTGACCCTCCCTCCAGTCCATCACTCGGATGGGTGGCAGCCGGGTGCAGCAGCGCTGATTCTCAAGCTAGTGTAGACTCATGGGGGCCACAGACTCCACCTTCGGGCTCTATCTGTAGTTCTTGGCTGTAGCTCCATACAGATCCCTGGGACTCCTCTAGGAGCTGCATTCCTGACCCTCGGATAGGTGAGTTAGAATAACTGGAGCGGAGCAGAGATGGAGTCTTCACATGCTCACAGTTCTCCAGCACTGATGGGCAGCCATGCAGAGGGGTACGACACTACTTGCCCCTTGTCCTCTCCACAAGAGCTGCTGAAACAGGCCCCCTTCATCTCCAGGTGGAAGTTGAGGGCTGATGAACGTGTCCCTCTGAAAGCTGGTGCTTGGGCTCCCTCCCGCCCCTGTTGTGTTGACATTATTGATGATGTGCCCCTCCCACTCTCCAGGTGTCTGCTTTGTCCAGCCTGGACAGGGGAAGAAGTGCTGCCCAATTCCGCTAGGTTTCCTCAGGGGTGATCTCGGGAGCTGTGTAGGGGAGGCTACAGTTAAGGCACGGGAGTTTGGTTTGTCTCTGGCTGTTGTCAGGGTGCTGTCTAGGAATCTGGGGGCTCTTGGCAGAGCAATCTCCGTGCTGGTCTCCGACGCCTTATAGCTTCCCTGTAAGTAGAGGGACTTTGGGGCCGCAGGCTGCTGCGGACCTGCCAGCCGCATCTGTTCTTGTCTGTGTTCTCCTCGGGGGTTTCCCTGACTGCTACAGCCCTTGCCAGGGTGTAGAAGAGGAATGGCACGCCTCTCAATAGAAGCAGGTACGGCCGGTGATGGGGGCGGGGCAGAGGACTGACAGAGCTCCAGTTTTCCGTCAAGGTGCCACACTACTGCATGTGGGGGTACAGGGTCTGGGAAGAGTTCCCGGGTGTAAAAATGAATGTGGAAAACTGACCAGCTAAGAACAGAAGCATGGGAGGGCTTGCCTTTTCTTGAGTGTTTTTTTTGGGGGGGTTGTTGTTATTTGTGTTGGCTTTGGTTTTTGGTTTTGTTATTGTTGTTTGTTTTGCTTTGTTTTGGGTTTTATGAAACAGGATCTCATGTAGTCCAAGCTGGCCTTGAACTCATGGTATTGCTGCCTCCTGGGTGCTGAGATTAGATACCATACCCCCTTTGGTGCTTTGTTCTTGCTTCTTTCTTTGCTTTGCAAACTATCATTCAGAGGCCATTGGAGGCCTCCATAGCCACATTCTTTCCAGATACCCTCGGCTAAGCACAAAGAGAGCTGCAAAATGCAAGACCCTGAGAAGTTAAGGCATGTAGAGAAGTCTGTGGTTCTCTGCACTGAGTGGTATCTGAACTGATGGTGGATGACAGTGCTGAGGACACTGCCCACAGTGACAGTATTCCAAGGACCATCCTCTTCCTGTCCCTTCTCACTTCAGCATCCACGCCTGTCCTGACCTCATTCTTCGTGCAGTTGTTCTCATCTTCTGTAGACCACCCACCATACAAGCCGTGGCTAGAAATTGAAATTCATGTCCTGCTGAACACAGTGCCACTGCCTGTGGCTCCAGCTGTTCTGGAGCTGGAGACGGGAGACCCTGTTGAGCCTGGGAATTTGGGACCCTGAGAGGGTGTGGGGCTATCCCAAAGCAATCAGCCATCAGCAATAAGTATCGACCATACTGTCATCTTGTCTCTCATGAGCACCAGCCGCATGCCAGTCTCTGACCTATCTCTCCCCTGCAACCTGTCAACTGGTCGATGAAAATGGAGAGCTGAGACCCTTAGGGACAAACCCACTCACCAAGCCCAGTAGTTCCTATTCCAGTTTGAGATGCCTTCCCACTGACACAAATGAAAGTGAGAACCCCAGCCAATTGAAGAGAACTATCTCCAGTGTCTCCTGAAACCCCTGGGCACCTAGTTCCTCTGACTGAGGTTGGAGTTTTGACTGGAACACCTTGAGTAGCTCAATGACTTTAACTACATTAGTTGAATGCGCTCAACACATTTGTAGCACCAAGCACTGCCCAGATGGGACATACTGTCAGAGGTTGGTGCGGCTCCGAAGGGTAAGGTGTGCCACCGTGTACTATTTCTAATAAATATATTTTGTTTCTACCCCAGTCTGATTCTTTCACCCAGTGATGTCTATCAGCATTTTTTTCCCAAAATACCAAACTGGCTTTGAGCTTGCTTAAAGCCATCTCCCTGCATGTCCTTGTCACTTCACAGGCCCCACTGCGGCTCCTTTACAGGAGGAGCCTCTGCCCTTCTCATGCACAGCTGTCCTGCTGCAGCTACAGGCTCTGGATTGCCCTCCAATACCCAGATGCTGCCAAGCTGTACAAATGTTTGTAAGATGGGAAGTGAACTCCCTGGACCCTGAAAACCACACACGGTGTCGTTAAAAGACTGAAGAGGCCAGTGATAAAAAAAAAAATGCAACTAGAGCAGTCAGCCAGTGTTGCTAAGCATCGCCTGGAAGCCGCCATGCATAGGCTAGTCAGGCCGCAGAAGAGCAGGGCCACCCTACAAACTTCATTCCTCCAGGTGTCTGCCTTCTCCTGAGGGCCTCCACAACTTCCCAGGGTAATGGTCACTGGTAAGACTTATCAAACCCTGGGTCAGCCTAGGGGCTACCACTTCACTCTTGGTCTAAAGGGTAGGAAAAGTTGTGGCAGGAGATACCAGGGCTTGTTTGCTCAACATCTGATTGGCCTGTACCATCTCGAATGCCGAGTGTCTTGGGCTGCACACATGTACATCCCTGCCGGCTCATGCATAAGCACGGTGGGCCGTTCACAGATGGCAGTGTCCCTGCGCTGGGGAGTGACCTCCATTTGCTGGTCTTTGATGCTCATCAAGCAGGTTCTGTCCTGTGGACTCCACCCTCTATGCGAATGAAGCACCATCCCTGAGCATTCCAGGAGTGGGCCACTCGGTATATGCACTTTACAGGTAGAATAAACCGGGCCCAGATTCCCCATACAGTTGCCTTTGGCAGTTTCTGTTGCCATAAACTGGGTATTTTTCTTTTTAAAGAATGGAGGTTTATTTAGTTCTCAGTTCTGAAGTCTAGACCCTCCAAGAGCCCAGCACTAGTGTGGTTTTCTTGCCACTGTGACTTGGCAAAGGACATGAGGAGACAGAGTAAACATGCTAGCCCTAGTCCCTAACACTTTTGAAGCCACCAACGCCTCCATGGGGAGCCTGGCCCTTATAACTCAATCCCAGTTACTTCCAAAAACACTCCTCCAAAACCTGCTAACACATGAACTTTGACCATTAAGTTTCTAGCACATGAACTTTGGGGAGATACATTTAAGTTCCAGTGACAGTGACAGAGAAAAGGCTCATGATAGCTGAATTAAGTGAATAATTTAGCACGTACAGCCCTAAGCATAGAGTCCTGGGCCCCAGCCATCTTCCCTCTGCTGGGTGAGAAGGGCTTTGCTCTTAGACTATGTAAACTTAAGTCTGAGCTCCTTGAGGGCCAAGTGCAGATTTCTCTGCTCATGATGCCTAAACCTAAGAGGTGGTTGTTATACTGGTCACGTGATTAACTGGTCCAGCCGCCGGTTACTCTCCCTTCGACTTGGAGGTCAGTTCCGGGAATGAATACCACAAGCATCCAGCCCGTGGCCCATCTTTTGAACAATCTGTTCCAGCATTTTCCAGCTTGCTGATAAGTGAGAAAAGCCCTAGAGAGAAACTTGAAACCTCATCTTTCCTTTTTCCTTTAATAGTATTACGTCTGGTCTCATGAATGAAATGACCTAACACATTCCCCTCAGAGCCTTGGAGTTTTCTGGGCTCTTTCATTGAATTCACTTTAACTTAATTCATCTGCTTCAGTGAGATTTTTCTAGATCATGAAAAGACAAATTCCACGAATAGATTTGCCTAGGACACTTTAGAAGTTTGGCCAGTGGGCCTGTCAGCCCTCCCATTTGTCCATCTGGGCCACTATTTATATCTTCCTTTGCGTGGTCATTTCCCTTGCATCTGAAAATGAGGCAAAACAGAAAGTGGGACATGGGAAAAATGTCCCTGCTACATGTGGCTTCAAAAGGCTTGGCCACTGTTCAAGAAGGCTGACCCTAGAAAACATCTGGCTGGAGAGGGGCCTCATCCTGAGAAAGCTAATGTCTCGCCCCCCACAGCATCAGACCCGCAACAGACATGGCAACCCACAGTGACAAGGAAGATGTGTCTTACACAACCTGCAGAAGCCTTTCAGACTCCTCTGTGCCCACAAATCCAGCTGCTCTTGTTTAGGAGAAGGGAAAAGAGGCCTGTCTTTAGTTACCTGCCTTTATAGTGTGCAGCCATGTTCCCAAAGTGAGCACAGTATTTTGTTACAGCCCTGGGAAGCTGGAGCTAAAATGACCTCAGCAGGTAGGGTGACATTCCCTTCTGGAGGCCCTGAGTGAGGTTCATTTCCTTACCTTTCCCAGCCTTCCACATTCCTTAGATCATAACCTCTTCCTCGTCTTAAAGTCAGTGTGTGATGAAGCTTTTGGCCATCCCTTTAAGCTGTCCAAACCAACCTTTTTATGGCATATTTTTAGTAGTTTAGTTTAAAAAAAACCTTGAATGCCATCAATTTTTGTTGTTGCTTATGGCTACATCTCCCCCAGGCTCTCTGCAGCTAGGGAAACTGGTTTTAGAGTCTTGTAAGTAATTTGGGGTTATCCAGACACTATTAATGATCCTCCCCATCTCACATCCCCTGCTAACCTTAACCACATCTGCAGTTTCTCACCATGTGAGGAACACCTGTGCTAGGAACCAGTGTGTGGCCGCTCTGTACACCAGTCATTGCTTCTGTCTCCTCTCACTAACAATGGTAGAATCTTTATTTCCTAGGTATAGTTGCCAGGATGTATTAGAGTTCTCCAGAAAAATAGGGCAGGGGGAAATAGATAGGGGATGGGATTAATTTAAGGATCTAGCCCATGTGATTACAGAAGCTGGCAAGTCCCACACTCTGCCACCAGCAAGCTAGAAACCCAGGAAGGCCTGTAAGTCAAGAGACAAGAGTTCTAACTCTAGTCCAAGACCTAGGAGCACAAAGGTAGGATGCAGATATCCCAGCTCAAGGGGTCAGCATGGAGAGATTTGGCCTTCCTGTCTTTTGGCACCATTCAAGCCCTTACCCACTCTGGGTAGGCATTGGCTGGGCTCAGTTTGCCAACCCAAATGCCCCTCTCTTCCAGAAATGCCCTCCTAGGCACACTCAGAAATAATGCCTTACTGTCATGGTACTGACTGCTTCGTGCTGATGCATTTCCTGGGTTGGGATTCAGGCTCGAAAACAACCTGCCTTCATGGTGCTGGAGCCTTGTGTAACTGGCTGCAAAGCCAACACTGTGGGAGCGAGCAGGTGACTGATTTGAATGGCTTGGGACACCGGTGAGCATGGTTGATACTAGATCATTTGACAAATGAGCAAACAGAGGCATACAAAGGTTAAATAATTTGTTTACAGTAACTTAGCTTGGAGGAAGCAAAGCAGAAAGTTAAACCTAAGCCATCTGGTATCAAAGCCTACACTGCCGGCCACCGCCATATTCTGCCATCATCAGGTACCTGTGGCGAAGGAAGCTTGTCCTGGAGGCAATAGCATTCTCAGGTAATTCTGTGATGCCTATGCCTTGACTTCTTATTTGAAAACAACAGAATTCCTCCTTAGCAATGGCTAGAAATGAGTTCTCATCTTAAGATCTCAGATGTATCGTTTTTATACATAACTTTTTATTTAAATTAGAAACAATCTTATTTTACATACTAACCCCAGTTCCCTCTCCCTCCCATCCTCCCATGCCTCCCACCAACCCCCCATCCCACCCCCCCATCCACTCCCCAGGGAGAGTAAGGTCTTCCCTGGGGGATCATCAAAGTCTGTCCCATCATTTGGGGCAGGGCCTAGGCCCTCCCCTGTGTATCTAGGCTGAGAGAGTATTCCTCCATGGGGAATAGGCTCCCAAAGTCTATTCATGCACTAGGGATAAATACTGTTCCACTGCCAGAGGCCACATAGACTGCCCAGGCCTCCTAGCTGTCACCCACATTCAGGGGGACTGGTTCTGTCCTATGCTGGTTCCCCAGCTGTCAAACTGGGGTCCATGAGCTCCCACTTGCTCAGGCCAGCTGTTTCTGTGGGTCTTTCCAGCCTGGTCTTGACCCCTTTGCTCATCATTCCTCCCTCTCTACAACTGGATTCCTGTAGTTCAGCTCAGTGCTTAGCTGTGAGTCTCTGCTTCTGCTTCCATCAGCTACTGGATGAAGGCTCTAGGATGTCATTTAAGGTAATCATCAGTCTCATTACATTTAAGGTAGTCTCTCCACTATTGCTTGGATTCTTAGTTGGGGTCATCCTTGTGGATCTCTGGACATTTCCCTAGTGCCAGATTTCTCTTTAAACCTTAATGGCTCTCTCTATTAAGGTATCTCTTTTCTCACTCTCCTCTATTCCCCTCCCACACTCAGTCTTCCTGATTCTTCATGTTCTCCTCCCCCTTCCTCCTCTCCCCTCTTCTTTCTCCTACCTCCCTCCCCTTCCCCACATGCTCCCTATTTGCTCAGGAGCTCTTGTCCCTTTCTCCTCTGGAGGACCATAACTGGATGCTGACATGTAGAAGATTACAGATAGATCCATGTCTATTGCCACGCACAAAACTCAGACATATCTTTAGCTAGGAGTTTGTGCATAGATTTGATGTTCTAGTAGCAGTCTAAACCAGGGACTTGTCCCAAATCCTCATCCCAGCTCAAGTGCCTTTCTCAGACCCAGCCTTCAGCCCCTTAGGTTCTGTCACATTGACTGAGACAGCATCCATGTCCCAACTTAACCAATCGTTTGCAAAAGAAACGGTAATCTGTGATGCTCCTATTACCTGACTTGTGCTAGATGGAGCCCTTCTGTCAGCTTGTAATATTGTGTGGCACTCAGGAGGTAGGCACTGTGTCTACCCCAGTGTGCACTTGCAAGTGTTGGTTACCAGGCATTGGCTATGGTAGACTTTCAGGACCTGAGTCTTCTTAGGGCAGGCACAGGATAGCCTGGGAGAACACAGTTTCAGAGAACAGGTTCAAATCCAGGGTGAGGACTCCTG